GAGTTTGTGGAGTAGCAGCAGCCCAGTTTGAGGTCATAGTCGGACAAAAGGGGAGACAGTTTGGAACCGCTAGACATTGTGATACGTTCATAATGTTCGGCCCGTCAGAATGTGTGAGAAGGCTCAGTGTCCAGCTTTGCTTTGGACTCTCTGGGGAAAAAAGAGAGAGAAAGAAGTCTTATCGTACAGACGAGAGCAGCTAAACTAGATACAGTGGGGGAAATAAGTATTTGAGCCCTTGCTGCTTTTGCAGGTTTGCCCACTTACAAAGAATGCTTATTTTTCCTCATCAGATGGTTATCAATTTTTATAAATTCATATGATGTGATTTTCTGGAATTTTCTTTGGGATTCTGTCTTTCACTGTTAGAATGTACATATGATTAAAGTTATAGATCGTTGCATTCTTTGTAAGTGGGCAAACCTGCAAAATCAGCAAGGGCTCAAATACTTATTTCCCCCACTGTATCTATTTCTGCTGGGAGCTAGCTTACTGATTCAACATCAGTCTTCAAAAGAGCCAGGACCTTATGGAACAGAAACCATCTCAGTGACACACACAGAAGCCTCCATTTACTGCAAACATCCACTCAGACTAAAGTCAATCCTAGACTTAGAGTTTGTGGAGTAGCAGCCGGGAATGTGTCCAAAGAGCTACACTTTCACTGATAGACGGGCGAACACTCATCAAAGTGTTAGAATGTGGCTATAATGACTCACGTTAGCATCGTATGCTATCACATAATCTATGTAAATTACTGATTGTTTTATTCCTATATTTTTTTGTGTTAAAGTCTCTGGCTGTGTCCACAGACTCTCTTTTCTCTCTTTTTCTCTCTCTGTTGCATTAGATCCACCTTTAGGTCAACACACACACACACACACACCATTTGTTAGCACATTCCTGTCATCTTCATGAATTAGGACCTGGCCTGTTCGTGCCCAGAGCTAACTGGCCAATAGGACTTGGTTGTGTCCAGTCCTCCTTTGAGGAGGCGGATGGAGCCCAGGAGATAATGCCCATCACCCAGATCTCAGGGCTCTTTCCCACTGAGACCCAGAGAGAGGTTTTAGTCTGTCAGAGCCCACTGATACACTTAACTGTGTCCAATAAATGTCATTTTATACTTTTGATCCACTCTGGTTTATTCTCAGGTTTCCAACTAAAGAATCGGGTTAGGAGAACATCCAAACTCCTCACAGATACTCCACCATGCCGGGATTCGGACCGGGAACCCTCAGGCTGAGGGGAGGGGGCTAATCTCTTTGCACCTGTTTGAGCAGATGAATTATCCCTGTTTGTTACAGGAAGTGTCTTGAGGCTGTTTCAAAAAATATATTTTTTATCTTAGTCTGAAACTCTGAAACCAGTTCAACCAGATCCAGACAACGCAGGATCTGATTGAACTCAGATAATCGGGTTCGTCCTGATCTGCAGGGTTAGGGTTAGGGTTAGGGTTAGGGTTAGAGTTAGGGTTAGGGTTAGAGTTAGGGTTAGGGTTAGGGTTAACCCCAGCTGGACTAGGATGGACTGTGGGACGACTGCTACAACCGGATGACCCGTGAAAGCTTTTTTTTTTTTTTTCCAACTTTATTTATTGAACATTTTTTAAACCAATAACATACAGAGTACAAAATATAAAGATGGCACATTTAGTAGCACAACTTTATGCAAACAACCCAAAATAATGCCCAGAAACCCCCACCCTCCCCTTAACAAGCATTCACACACACACACACGCTCGCTCACTCTTTAGGGAGAAATAAACAAAAAATAAACAATAAATAAAAATAAAAAATAAAATAGAAAATCGGAAGGAAAAAAATAAATAAATTAAAAAAATAAAAAATAAAAATAAATAAATAATAAAATTAAATTAATAAAATAATATTTATCCAAAATAAACAAATAAAACACCCTCTCTCCTACACAACTCCCAGTTCTTCGGAGTTATAATTAAGAGATTCTGTGTGTCGTAGAACCGTGAAAGCTTTTTAAAAGTCTGTTCAGATGAACATTTCTGAACAACACCGTGTCAGACTGTAAATGTTGACCCTGTTTGAGGCGTAAACTTTTTAACTTTGGCCCCTTCTGTGATCCAGCTGAATTTAAGGTTTACTGGTGGAGTAAACTCTTAGCTCCACAAGATGGCGCAGTTCTGCCTTCAGAATTTATTTATTTATTTATTTGAATAGGTACAAAACACATTAATGAACATCAGTATAAAAACAAATGTAAATATGCCGGATTATAGCTACAAAGATAGTTTTAATCTGAAGTCCCTAGGCAGGAAAATACATAAGAAAGAACATATAATAAACAATATAAGCATCATAAGGAAATGTTAGGATTTTAGTGGTCACATGACTAGAATAATCCACGGGCATTCCCACACCAGGAAGCTCCCACCGTTCCTGCTCCACAACCAACACCAAATACACAACAATAAGAAACCACAGGGGGGGGGTTAAGGCTTAATCTGTCCCTCACAACCAGAGAATCCCACTATTAGTCCTCAGGAATAAACTGCTGTAAAAACCACCGATGAGGAAAATAACCGGAAACATGGAGTCTAACTTTTCCATTCCGGAGCCCGATAACGTGCCTGTGACGTCAGAAACAGCTCAAACTGACTAAGGGGGGGGGGG